GTTGGCTGAGACAGGAGCAGACCTGTCCCCATGGCTCCACAAGCTGGAGACCCTTAGGTATCCTGTGGGACCCCCATCTCAGAGGAGAACCACCAAACCCCGGGTTCAGTGGCTGGTTCCACTCATCCTGGCTCAATCCAAGTCATGAATGGGACAACCAAAATAAACCCCAGAGGCATCACCAGTATTAAAGAGTTGTCTCCTCTCTCCCCCGAGCGGTCCCGCCTGCCCATCCCTGATCACCCTCCAGAAGCCCTGCTGCGCTCACAGCCCTGCCTATGTCAAGTTTCCAAAGCCCTATTCGTTTTCCAAGGAAGATGCAAAGCCCTGCCGAGAAAACTCATGCCTACCAAAGCGTTGCTTTTCTTAGTTCCTTTTTCCAGCTCCCCTCCAAGCTCTCCATGAATGACCAGACCACAGAGAGAAAACGGAGAAGCCCCATGGGCTCTGCTGCCAGCCCCATCTGCAGTGAGAGGAGCCTCTTCAAACCCAGAAAGTTGGACTCTACAGTCCAGAGCAGCAAGGAAAGACAAAGGGGAGTTTGCAGCACTCTGGAGCACGTTGCAGAGTAACATTACTGACTGCATTGTGAGAAATTAATTCCTATTGAGCAACTGTATGTTTTCCTCTGGTGCTGCAAACCCCAAATCGCTCCAAACATCTCCCTTTCCCCTAAGCCTAAAGCAGACAGACAATACTGACAACAAACGGCAATTGCCTGACCAGCTCCTCGCATCTCCAGAGCATCAGAAACCATTCAAACACATTTTGGAAATATCTTACCACTAAGATTTTGAGAACAGGCTGCAATAATTGTTTTCATGGTGGCAGGGAGTTCTGCGCCAGCCCCTGGATCTGCAGGTTAAAAGGTGAGTTTGGAAATGCTGGAGGGCGACTGTGTATCCAGTGGCTTTAACCAGCTGATCCAAGGTAAACCGTCCACTGTGGAGGGGAGCAGACCCGCTCTGGCCCTGGCTTGCAGAGCAAGAAGAAGAGCTGGTGGTCCTTGGGAGGGCGAGGAGTCACGCTGAGCGGTGAGGTGCTGCCGTGGCGAAGGACATCCACTGCTCTTCAGAAAGGCACTGCTGCCGGCACCAGCGGCAGCTCCGTGGGAGCCGTCTTCCCCTGGTAATGGTACCGTCCGTGTGTTGGGTATTTCACAAACCCTGTTATGCTCTAAACGTCATCCCAAAGCTCCCCCTCTGTGGTATGGGAAGGCAGCCTGCCTGACAGGCCTTGACCATCAGCCCCAGCATTGTCCCCTCCTCTTCCACCCCCAAGAGGGGCACTGGAGTCAGCCAGCCCAGCCTGCTAGCCCAGCCAAAGTGGAGAGGAGTGGGGGACAAAAAAATGAGAAGAAAATGAAACAAGAACAGCACAAAAGCAGCACCGAGATGGGGCATCAGGCCAACAGCTAAAGGAAAGGTGAAAATCAGCAGGAACTAGTTCACTGGAGCTACTTCTCAGGATCTACCTCTCCAGAAGTACTCACGAGGAAAAGCCAGCCACCATCAAAAGTAGGAAAGGAGTAAGTGCACGTCTAGGACTGGGTGTGTTGTTAAAGTCTAAACCATGTTTCATGGGAGAGGTTTGGAACCCACAAAAACTCATCACCTGCTCTTGGAAGGGCTGAGTGTCCGGAAAATAGGGTGCAACGGCATTCACTGCAGGCTACAGCTTCACAGGGGCAGGTTAGTTAAGAGCTGAGATTGCCAAGTATAAAACATCCGAGCTCTCCTGAAGCCTAGTTGGTCCCTCAGGTGTGCCTGAGTCATGCTAATAGGAAGGAAAACCCCCAAATTCCCTCGGAATCTCACTCCCTGGACACAAGAGAGTGCTCTGCTGATGAACCTGACTGCACCAAATCACAGTAAATGCCTTGTGTCCTGCTCCAGGTAACACTGCCACACATGCAAGTAGCAGTGATGATTTCTCTGGGGTTTTATCCCAACATCTGTAAGACATTTAGAATAACTGCAGCCTCGGCTGCTAGTCCCATGCTGGGCAACTCCAGGTCTTCCAGCCACGATTCCTCACTTTCTTACCCAGTGACGTGCCTGCCGCACACCAGGTCAGTGCCATGTAGGGCAGAACGCTCATGCTCTCCCTTCTCACTCAGTTCAGGATTAGTGCCAGCAGCTATTTAAACCAGTTTCAGAGGAATCCAGAAAAGGTTTTCACCCCTTCAGGGTTATTTTCCAAGCACGCTGACCACCAGTGCAGTACTTCCTTTTTGAATATGGCACTGTTGGCCCCTGTAGGGCTCCCTGTATATCGCACTGTGTGCATTATAGCCATGCAGCCCCCATGTTACTTTTGTTATGAGCAAAAGGACAAGCATTTCTATTAAGGCATTTCTATAACATGTAGTATCAGCATTTCAAGACATTGCCCTTAAATTACCTGATTTACTTCACATAAAAATATCCCCAACGCTTCAGTCTGCATGCTCAGGAACAGCAGAATTTGCCTGTGCAAAGCTCATGGAGGACCCAGCTGTGCACGCAGACCTGCCTGCCAAGGTGAACACATCCAACATTGACCATCTTGCATTCCCAACACCCCTGGTTGCTAGCAACCAGCTTTACAATTTTGCTCTGGAAGAGCCTGGGATGAAGAATGAGGGATTTTAACAACAGGAACTAGGCAGCACAAGAGATTTTATTTTTCTTATTAAATATTTATATATACATATTATTTTGATGAGGTGAGCAGCTCCAGAGAGGACCCTTCAACACCAGAGTGACAGGAAACACCACGTGCAGGAGCCTCAGTTCTGAGCAGCAAGAGCCACCCAGGGAGCCTCAAGCCCTTGCCTGGCCTTGTCCAGATGCCAGCAGCTCCGCTGAGGCGAGCAGCCTGAGTGGGAAAAAACCCAGGCCAGGAGCTCAGCGAGCAGGGCATGACATGGCAGTGTTGCCTACCAGGGGCTCTGATCAGGGATGTTCCTGAGAGGCTGCCTGGTCTAGTAAGTCCTGTTGACACCCACTACTCAGGATCCATGTGGGTGCCAGTGATATTGACAGCAGTAGCCTGGGAATCATTAAGAAGGACTACAGAGCCCTGGGAAAGGTGGTTAGGAGCTCAGACAGTTATTCCACTGATCCTCCAGGTGAAAGGGGAGGACCTTGAAAAGGCCAGGCAGATTTGGCGGTTAATAAATGGTTAGAAGAGTGGTACCATAGTCAGGGGTTTGGTTACTTGGAACATGAGACTTGAGTTGGGAGGCCAGGTCTACTGAAGACTGGTGCCGCTAAAACCAGCTGCTTTGGTAGGAGACTTGCCAGGCTGGTCAAGGCAGCTTTAAACTAGATGTGTTGGTCAGGGGGGGCATCATTCCATCCCAACACTCCCAAGTCAATTGCCAGCACCTTTAATAAATGCTTGAATCGATGCAGAGCTATTTCAGCCACTCCAGCCAATGAGTCAGCTTCATTTGGAGCTCAGCTCAGATGCCTCTATACAAACACCTGCAGTATGGGCAACAAGGGGAATAAAGAGATGTGCGTATGGCTACATGGATATGATATCATTGGCATCACAGAAACATAGCGGGATGGCTCCTATGATTGGAATGTTGGAGTGGAAGGTTATAGGCTCTGTAGGAAAGACAGATCCAGCCGACAGGGAGTGGGAGTAGCTATTTATGTCAGCCACAGGCTGGAGAGTATGGAACTCTCTCTAGGGACAGGTGATAAGTCAACGGAGTTTGTGGGTCAGGGTCAAAGGGAGAACAGCGATGGGGGACATTACTGTGGGGATCTGTTACAGACCACCTGATCAAGAGGATGAAGCACTCTATAGACAGATATGAGCAGCCTCACAGGCCCTTGTCCTCCTGGGAGACTTCAACCATCCTGACATCTGTTGGAGGCATGGTACGGCCTGACACAAGCAATTCAGGAAATTCCCTGATTGTGTGGAAGACAACTTCCTCTTGCAAGTGACAGAGGAGCCAACAAGGAGACATGCCATGCCTGACCTCATGCTCACCAACAGGGAGGGGCTGGTTGTAAATGTGATGCTCCAGGACAGCCTTGGCTGTAGTGATCATGAGACGGTTGAGTTCAAGATTGTCAGGACAATGAGAAGGGCATGCAGCAAGCTCACTGCCCTGGACTTCAAGAGAGCAGACTCTGGCCTCTTCGGGTACCTGCTTAGTAAAGTTCCACGGGCTATAGCCCTAGAAGGCAGGGGGGCCCAAGACTGCAGGTTGATATCCAAGGATCACCTCCTCCAAGCTCAGGAGCTCTGCATCCCAACTAGAAAGAAATGCAGCAGGAGGGTCAAGAGGCCTCCATGGATGAATACAGAGCTGCTGAGGAAACTTAGAGGGGAAAAAAGAATCTCATAAAAGGTGTACGCAAGGACAGGTGGCTTGGGAAGAATAGAGATGCTGTCCAGGAAGCTAGGGACCAGGTCAGGAAAGCTAAGAACCAGTTAGAATTACACCTGGCAAGGGATGTGAAAGTTAACAGGGAGGGCTTCTGTAGGCATGTAGCAAACAAAAGACAGACCAGGGATAATGTGAGCCCTCTCTGGAAGCTATCAGAGCTGGCTGCCCTGGATTTGGAGAAGGCTGAGGTTCTCAATGACTTCTTTGCTTCAGTCTCCACTGGCAAATGCTTTGACCACACCGCCCAAGTCTTGGAAGGCAGATGGAGGGACTGTGAGAATGAAGACCTTAGGCCCGCTGTAGGAAAGGATCAGGTTCAAGATCATTTTAAGAACCTGAATGTGCACAACTGGAAAAAGGGAAATATAACTCCCATTTTCAAGAAGGGGAAAATGGAAGACCCAGGGAACTACACCCCAGTCAGTGTCACCTCTGCCTGGCAAAATCTTGGTTTAGTGTGACCTGGTTTAGTGTGTGGTGTCCCTACTCATGGCAGGGGGGTTGAAACTAGATGATCTTAAGGTCCTTTCCAACCCTAATCCCTATGATTCTATGATATAGAGGGAAAAGAAAATAAATACATCCACCCACAATACAAAGTACTGTTTCCAAATTCATGTACTTTTCTTGCAAGGACTTCCTCTGACTGGGAGAACAGAGGCAGTCTGACCCCTCGGAAAGAGCTCCACCTGACAGGAGCTCTGTGGCGTCACTGTACATAATCAGTGCACTCAGTCCAACATTTAATGTAAACCAAAACAAGCGGTCATGTTTACTCATCCAATTCCCTGCCTCCCAGAGAAGCCATGGATACCTCTGCATATGTACAGTGTCTTTACTCCTGTACTGCCAGGACACTGGCTATTCTTACAGATTTCCAGGACATGCTCCCTCTGCAGCAAGAGCATCAGCCCATGTTATGCCGGTTGCCATAGCCTCTTGGGTGTGTATCTTTCCAGTCATCCATGTTCCGAGCTTTCTGAAGAGCTTCCTCATCATCCTCCTCCTCTTTTTTCTCCTGCTGCTTCTGCAACTCTTCATCAGTTAGATCTGCTGAAGACAAGAACATGAGTGAGGGGCAGTAGGACAGTGGAAGATCCACAGTCAGGCTCTCAAAAGCTGGTCTGGACAAAAAGCAGGAATTGCCAAATGAGCAGTCCAGTAATCCAGTTATTCTCACAGCCTTATGAAGCCAGCTCTTACTCTTCCTCAGTCAGCGGGTGCTTTACGCTCTGAACACATCCCCATTCACCCTCCCCCCAAGAGACTTCCCAAGCTCTCCATTCCAATCTTTGCTTTGCCACTCCATACCTGGAGGTGTGCTCTGACCAGACACCACTCCTTGCCTTCTGCGCTGGTCATACCAGTCATCCACAGTCATTACAGGCAGGCTGGGATAACCAGCACCGAACACTCTACAGGAAGAGATGGACAGTCAAAGGTGGCACTTGATATTGCTATGAACAAGCAGAAACATAGACAACCCTGCACAGAACTACTCTGTAATCCAATCTGTACTAACAATACAAGGCATATTATCAAAGAGGGCTTGAGAATATTTTTCTACAGCCTGGCTCTTCAGCAAGGCTTGCCAGTAACCCAGCCATAACAGCAATTAGAGAGTTCACCCTGCTAATTTAGAGAGGCAAGGATTGTTCTATTCACAAATCACCAGCCCAAAGGAGTCTGTACAGCTTGCTAAGGAGGCCCCAAGAACTGAGTTAGGCACAGCTTCGCTAAACAGATTAATGGAAGGCTCAGGGCAAATGACGTCAAAAGCATGACAAGAAATCTGGTTTCTATCCCAACTTGTGCTTTAGCTGCCATATTCCTCACAAGAATCTCATGGTGTCACAAAATATTAAGATCTGGATAACCTGTAAGGCTAGGGAAAGACTTACAGTTGAAAACCATACTACCATGACTGATTATTCTCTGGTAGGCATCACATCTTCCCAGCCCCCCAGATCACTTATTTGAATTCACTGAAATATTCCAGAGTTTACATTAGATTAAGAGATCACATGTGCTCTTCACTACTGGGCTCTTTATTTTAAGAGTGAAGAGTAATCCTCTTCTATCCCATAGAGGTTAGAGGGACAGATAAACATTGCCTCTCCACAGCTTACCAAACACATGGCCTATAAATTAAGAGTAATTATCTGCTAAATACAATCTCCTCTGCCATCCCAATAGGAGGAAACAGTATCAGCCAAGACACTGCAGCATGCTGGTAACATAAGAAATCAGAAAAAATTCAAGAAATCCATTAGATGTTCCCCTCACCCGCTACCCAGATGCAAAGCCTGAAGGTAACAACTGGTTTTATGCATTTCAAAGAGTATCTGAGTCTTAACATGAGGACAGAGCACTGCCTCTAAAATAATCAGAAACCAACATACTTATTCTGCAGAGCATCCCGGGTGAGAATGAAAGGCTTCATTGGAGGCCTGACTTGCCGAGAAGTACCGTGTGGTGGTGCTGAAGACTGAAGATGTAAACAATAGTCACAAAATAATCCTGAAAATGAAAATCCCTTTCTCTGCTTCCCACCCCAAACAAGTCATTTGAGGTCTTGTAGAAGAGAAACGCCTCTGCTGTCAGAGCAACATCCCAATATGGACAATTCACACCTTAATCCAGTTTAAATCATGAGCTCCATCTGTGAGTTGCTACAAATCACTTCCTTTTGTGCCTTTGTTACACCCGCTCTGATCAAAACAGAAAGCTGACAGAGCTAAGCCAGATCAGTTCAGATCAAAGCATGAAATACAGCTTATTTTTCCCAGGGATCAAACACAATACATTCTGAAGCAAGCAGAGCTCATCATTCCCATCGATATCACCCAGGGCACTAGAGAGTGGCAGAGGTCTGCAACACGAGTAATGAACTGCAAAAACCAGCTGCGCCAACAAGGCTGGACTATGGTCTATGTCAACACATTATGATTTTTCATTTCTAGACAGACGTTTTAGATGAGTAACAAAGCCCAGGAACACTATCCTACACAGGAATTGCAGGTCTATGAGAAGCTTTCATCATTCAGAACAGGCATTTCTTTCTGTAACACCTGGACACCTTGTACATCAGAAGTATAGGTCTGAAAGAAATCACAAGGGTCTCTTTTAATTTACAAATGTAGTTACTTCTTTAGAGTTAAGGGTCTGGCAGAAGACAGCAAAGGGGAGAAAAGCCTTTGCACGCAGACTGATTCAGAGCTGATACTCAATGCTCTATCATTCTGCAAAATATGACTGTCTAGAACATGGGGCAGGAGTAGCCAGTGACCAATTAAAAAATCAGACACTGCCCATTCAGAGTGAAACCAAATCCCTTCTGCTTGTGCTGTGAATGACCAGCAGCTCAAGAGGGATCTCATACCTGTTTCACTGTACCTCTGCTCCTCAATATGACTATTTCTTGGTCAACACTTTCAATTTCCTCCAGGCTGGTGTTGATCCACTTCTGGGTTTGTAGGATATAAAACGCCCGTATCTGCTCCTCATCTGCTTGCCCGCTGTCCACAGAACTTTTCATAGAGGCCAACCTGTTCTCCAGGTCCTTCTTCTGCTTATATCTGTCTCAAAGAGAAGAGAACTAAATCATTAAATTACCTTTCTATAACCCAGCCCAGATACTGTGATTTCTAAAACAAACAATTTCCTATTTCTTGAAATTCAGTCAAATGTAGGCAGAGAACCAACTCCTGCCTCAATTCAACTCAAACTTGCCTACCCTGTCTAAATGCTCTTCACAGAAGTGCCAGCTGCTGCTCAGCTCTCCTCAGGGTATGCAAGTCCCAGACATTCATAAATCTCCTCATGTCTTTGACTAATTTCTTGGTGTAAGGAGAACTCATTTAACAACTGAGTAAGACTCCTGTAGAAATAAAGCAGACTTACAGGAATGTACCCATTAAGAGGAAGAGGAGCACTGGCAGCACCAGATGATGCCAGCTGTCATTTACTGATGACCTACTGATGACAATGCATAAGCAGGAGGCACTGTGGGGATCCATCTCCCCACCTCATCTGATTGACAACAGAAGGGTTTTGACAAATGAAATCTACAGGAATCAGAAGAGTTTCAATCTGCTTAAGAAAGGCTTTGAAAATGCACAGTTATATACCTACATGCATCACCAAAATACTTTGTTCCCATCTATGCCATCACTTCCATCTGTCAACTCAAATTCAGACATTACATAGGGTATTTACTACTCTGTGTAAGAGGTTAGACATGATTTCATGTATTTAAAAGTAAAATTATATAAAAAAGGGGAGGTTGGGATGAATTACTGTTGTAATTGAAGTATCTCCTGTCTATAAAAAGCAGCTTTAACATACTTTTAATGTATGGGTGCTTCTGTCAATTTATTTTCTTTTTCCTCCTAAAAGTTGAACAAACCTGGAAAATTAAACCTCCCAGGTACAATTCTGCAAGCCTGGCAACATTTGCCTCCTAGAGAAAACAGTGAAGGAGCCAGCCAACGATGAGTTAATGACCTTGTAAAAGCAATGCCATAGTTATATTGAGTTGCTTCTACATGACAGAAAGACTGAGCTTGTAAGGCAGATCAGAACACTCTTCTGTTTCTGTCTTGGGCGTTTTTGTGTGCGCAGGTACATAATACACTTCCAGGGTAAACCCTTCAGCTACACTGCTACCTGAAGAACGAAGAGTAACAAACAAGAGTTGGAAACCTACAGGAGCTGAAAGAAAAAGGAGCATACCAACGGCCTTCTAAAAACCAAACCCATTCAGAACTGCTCCAGAAGGATGCTGAAAAATACATCTTAACTGGCCAGGCCCATCCTGCCACACAGCAAACCGAAGGGATGATACAGGCCTACGTTTTTCATGCAGGCCATGTGTTTTACTGGAAACAAATAGAGCTGCAAGGTGTCTCACCCTGATCAAGCACCAACCTGCTTGTGACAGAACTCACAAAGCAGGCACCTCCCATTTGCCTTCCAGGGGACAGAGTCACGGTACAGGCAACCACCAGCCCACAGCAAGAGGGGACTTCACAGGTAACCAAAGCCCAACCTGCAGCACTAACAAAGCTTGCCTGGAAGGAGATATTCAGCTCTGAAAGGCTTTGCTGCGCTGATCCCAAAGGTCCTGACATGGTCTAGTACCCCAAACCTACCTCAGTTAGGTTAATATCTAGAATATAAATCATATCTTTGTATCCATGCAATTCAAACAGCTCTCCAGCCCAGCCTGGGCCTTTCAGTGCTACCACAATAAGCAACAACTTGTCAAAATCCCCAGCTAAAGCATAACAAAGAGACATCAACCACCTCTTTTTTAAGGACATAATAAGCCCTTTGGTAGGTGTCATGGGTTCAGCAGTAGCAGTCATTTTTCCCCTTCTTGGTAGCTGGTGCAGTGCAATGTTTTGACTTTCAGCTCGGGAACAGAGCTGATAACAAGCGATGTTTTGGTTTGGCCAAGGACTTTGTGAGCCTCATGCTCTGCCAGGGAGGAGGGGAAGCCAGGAGGAAGCAGAGACAGGACACCTGACCCAAACTAGCCAAAGAGGTATTCCATACCACAGCACGTCATGCCCAGGAGGTAACTGGGAGCCGGAAGGGCTGAGAGACGGCAGGGTTGGAGGAGGTATCGGTCAGAGCTTGGTCGGGCTGGGGGTGCGAGTTATCGGTTGGCTGGTGGTGAGATGATGTATTCTCTTCCCTTGTTATTTCCTTTATCATTATTATCATTGGTGGTAGCAGTAGTGATTTGTGTTATACCTTAGTTACTAAACTGTTCTTATCTCAACCCGTGGGAGTTGCATTCTTTTCGATTCTCCTCTCCGTCCCTCCGAGAGCAGGGGGAGGGCAAGAAAAGGGGGGGGGGAAGTGAGCGAACGAGTTACCTGACTGGGTTTAAACCACGACAGTTCTTTTTGGCGCCCAACGTGGGGCACGAAGGGTTGAGATAACGACAGATTTGACTGGATTAATAGTCACTCATCACAATGACGATTTATTGGCTCTCAGAGTTGTTTCGCTTGATCTCACAGCTTCAGAATGTTGTAACTTACGTAGAGCCGGTATTTGCTGTGATAGTGTTTATCAAGTATGGGGCTTGGGCTAAGGTTCTTGTCTCACTGTGCTTTATGGCAATGGCTTGTAATACGGACGGGCTCCAGCAGCAGGGCGGGACGGACGTGGCCGTGGACTTGTACCTGGCCGTCCGGCTGCTCTTCACCGTCCTGGCCCTCACCCTACTCTCCATCTTCGTGAGGCTGCGGGGAGCCGAGGGGGAGCGGCCCCGGGAGCCGGCGGCAGCCGAACCGGCCCGGGAAAGCGGCCCCGGCGACCAAGCGGCGGCGGGAGCGGGGCCGGAGGCCGCGAGGGGACGGCTGCCGGTGGAGGAGGTCGGGGCGGTCGAGGAGCAGAAAGAAGCGGCTGCAGAGCAGCGGGAGAAGGCGGCGGAGGAGCCGAGCCCCGCGGCCGAGCCGAGCCCCGCGGAGGAGCCGAGCCCCGCGGCCGAGCCCAGCCCCGCGACGGCCGAGAGCGTTTCCCGGAAGCCGGCCGCCGAGCCCCAGGAGGATGCAGGAGACCACGCAGCATTTCCCAGCAAGGCAGAGGAGGAAGAGCTGGACTCAGGAAAAGAGAAGCTGGTGGTGGGAGAGCCGGCAAGCACAGCAGCTACACCAGCCCCAGTGACAAGTACAGCAGCATCAACTGAGAGTTCTGAAGGTTTTGAATGGCCTTTGGGTGTCCTTGGGACCTGCCTGCTGATTGTGATGGGGATCAGCATGCTGGCACACACACAGGCTGTGTTCTACCCACAACCGTTTTGTCTGATCTCAAAAGTTAAGCAGAGTCAGGTTTGGGTCTTGTCTGGGGTTAGACGACAATATAGGGGGACCAAGAGGTTTTCCCCAAGGCTGGACAGTCATGAGTGGCAGGGTGTGTGGGACACTATGGGCAAGTATCTAGTCCACTGGGCCCCTCCAGTGCTTTGGAAGCATCGGAGATGGAAGGCAGCTGTATGGAGTCCCCAGCAACAAGCTGCAGAAACTGCTTAAGGGGACAGTGAATTATTTTAAGCCTGGTGGGCCCATGGCACTTCAGGCCATCAGAGCAGAGATGCAACACAGAGATGGCCTCATGATCAAGGGGTGGACCTAGCAATGGACACTATTGCCCAAGTTATTCACGAGTGTGAACACTGCACACAGTCTCTCCTGCTCTGGAAGACTGTTACAAGAGATGGAGCCTGACATCATGGACCAGATGGACTCAGCAGCTTTATAGGGACTGGTCCATGCACTGAGATAAGAGTGATGGTATATTGAAAATGTGGGATCTGAGCATGACGTGAATGGTATGGAATAAGGGGTGGATAATGTCATGGGTTCAGCAGTAGCAGTCATTTTTCCCCTTCTTGGTAGCTGGTGCAGTGCAATGTTTTGACTTTCAGCTCGGGAACAGAGCTGATAACAAGCGATGTTTTGGTTTGGCCAAGGACTTTGTGAGCCTCATGCTCTGCCAGGGAGGAGGGGAAGCCAGGAGGAAGCAGAGACAGGACACCTGACCCAAACTGACCAAAGAGGTATTCCATACCACAGCACGTCATGCCCAGGAGGTAACTGGGAGCCGGAAGGGCTGAGAGACGGCAGGGTTGGAGGAGGTATCGGTCAGAGCTTGGTCGGGCTGGGGGTGCGAGTTATCGGTTGGCTGGTGGTGAGATGATGTATTCTCTTCCCTTGTTATTTCCTTTATCATTATTATCATTGGTGGTAGCAGTAGTGATTTGTGTTATACCTTAGTTACTAAACTGTTCTTATCTCAACCCGTGGGAGTTGCATTCTTTTCGATTCTCCTCTCCGTCCCTCCGAGAGCAGGGGGAGGGCAAGAAAAGGGGGGGGAAGTGAGCGAACGAGTTACCTGACTGGGTTTAAACCACGACAGTAGGTAACTTCCAGCATGGGTGGCGTTATGCTCTTAGCAGCAATTAAAGCACCAGCCAGAAGAGCTTTCATGCAGTTCTTCAAAGACCAAAACCAAAGGTAGAAATGCACCTCCGCAGTCACTAAATAATATGTGCTGCATATCTTAAAATGAGTGCTTCGCAATCAAGTGTATTCCGGTATCAAGGAAGGCCCTTCTTTCCCGGCAGTCCTCGTCTGTACAACCATGCACTGCCCCAGGCTCTCCCCTTCTCTGAAACCGATTCCCAGAAGCCTTTAAAGGCCACAAACCAAGAACCTACCTTTCAATTTTGGCTTGCCTGCTCGACGCCATGGCCACCAGCTTGTCCTGGACGGCAGCAGGGCTCCTGCGGGGCGGGCTCCTGTCAGCCTCCTCTGCCGGGGGGCTGGTGGCGGGGGGCAGGTGGAAGCTGCCCAGCCCGTAGCTCTTGCAGAGCTTGAGGAAGCTCCAGAAGTGGGCCCGGGCGCTCTCCAGGTGCTCCAGCCTCTTGTCCAGGTCCACCTGCTTCAGCGTCATGGCCCCCAGCAAGGCGGGCAGCAGCAGGTACTTCAGGTCGGCCGAGGCGATCTCCTCCAGATCCTCGTTCTCACTGCAAGGGCAGAGACCAACCTCACGATCCCCGTGCCCTCTCCACCTGGGCCTGCCCAAGCCCCGAACCGTGGCAGACCCTCGCCCCGCCTCACCGGGTGCTCCCAGGCTCATCCCTCCCCTCCGCTCACCTGAACAGCTCCAGCTGCGCCACCATGGCGTTCGCCCGCCGCAGGACGTCCAGCCCCTGCCGCACCTTATCCTGCACAGCCGGGCTGCCCGAGGACGGCGCGGTGTCGGTCTCCAGCTCTTCCCAGAGCTGCCAGCCCACCGCCAGCAGCTCCGCCAGCTTCTGCCCCTCCTCAGCACCCTCCGCCATGATGGGCTGGGAACCGGCTGCCAACAAATCCCTTCCGGCGGTTACGAGCGACCCCGCCCCGCCCCGCCCGCCATCTTGTGAGGGCACAGCGGGGGTGTCGCCATCTTGGTGAGGGCACGGCGAGGGTGTCGCCATCTTGGTGAGGGCACGGCGAGGGTGTCGCCATCTTGGCAGTTGCGGCTCAGCTGCGCCGGGGGCTCCCCGAGTTTGAGCTGCTTGCTTAGCTCCTTCTTACAATATCTCCGACGTTTAAAAGCGAATAAGGCAGGCAAAGGTTAAAGCTGGGGATTTAGGATGAGATAAACAAGCAAATAAAAAGAAACTGACAGAGGGGAGGATTAGCTTAGACACTTGGAAGTTGTTCTTCCCTGTGAGGGTGCTGAGGTGCTGGCACAGGGTGCCCAGAGAAGCTGTGGCTGCCCCATCCCTGGCTGTGTTCAAGGCCAGGTTGGACACAGGGGCTTGGAGCAAGCTGCTCTAGTGGAAGGGGTCCCTGCCTTTGGCAGGGGTTGGAGCTGAAGGAGCTTTAAGGTCCCTTTCAACCCAGACAGTTCTGTGATTGTTTCTGTGATGTTGGTCCCTTAGAAACACAGCTATTTGACCTACATGTGAGAAATGTAATAGTAATTCAGGGCCTGCTGGAAGCACTCGGACTCCAAGAGTGAATCAGTTTACTCTCTTTTCTTCATACCTACTGAGATAGGTCAATAAGAAGTCACTCATAAGAACTGGAAGAGCTGTGGGTTTAGACGCTTGCTCAGTGTGCCCTGAGTATGCCCCAGTGCTGTGAGTCTCCTGTCGGTACAGCAAGAGCTGACCCTCATCTATACTGCTCCTGCACACCAGGCAGGAGGTGAACAGCAACGCTGTGTCCAGCAGTGTGATAAGTAATGGGTATTATGATTGGAAGTGGACTGGGGCCAGGAATCTGCAGCCTTTTGTTCTCCACTAGCATGCTTTGGCATACCCAGCAATTGCAACGAGCTCACTTTCATCAGAGTAATACCCCTCTCAACACAGCACACTTTACCTTCGTATGTGTTAGTTAAAAGCTACAGTACAACAATCACATCATCACCCTCTGTAACCACAAAGATTCAACACTTCAGCAGCACTTGTAAGGATCAGAGCAAAAGAGACTGCTGGAGTGAACTCCTCCGGAGTGTTATCCTTACTGTTACACAGAGACTGTCAGAGCACTTCACAGATCACCCTCCCATAGGATATCCATGTTTAATCTTTAGCAAACATCTCCTTAGGGTGTTCTCCTCAGGGACCTCCACCTCTCCGAGGGGCTCACAGGCTTGCTTTCCAAGTAATTGTGAATAGGTTGATGATGGAGCAGTGTATCTCAGCTGCCCTCTCCTGCCCTCAAAAGTAGGGGTGGTGGGAGCGGGGGTAGTTTTGACCCAGGTTGCTGGAGGCAGCACAGGGCAGGCCTTGAGCAGCACATTACCGTGACTCTCCAGGGAAGCCAGACCAAAAGAACAGGAAATCCATGTGAGGACTGGTTTCCTGTGAGCTGCAAAATCTTTCCCTCTAAGACCCAAGTGGGTTAGCAGGTTGGAAGCTGCTGAATCTCCTTGCTAGGAGCTAATCAGCCCCTTTTTTGTCTGCTGCCCCGACTGTTCAAGAATAGGTTTCATTTATACCTTGGGAGCATGAAATGAGTAAGGGTAAGGGACCAGATTTCCTTGCAGCCTGCTCTCTGCACATACCCACATGTGTTGTTCTCTTCCTGCTTGAGGTCCACCTGGCAGAACATGGATTTTTGAGCTGCCCTTTCTAATTACAGAGTTAATGTTCTCAACAGGAGGGAAAAATAAATGCTTCTTTGGAAGGCATAATTACCCAGCAAGTCCCTATTGACACCACAGTGGGCCTCAAGCTGGAAACTACAGGTACAGTAGCTGTGATTAGTCCCACTGCATGTGAAAAGGGGGAGTTCCCAAAGCATTGGCAAGCTGGGACCAGTCCCACTCCCAGGTCTGCCAGATGTCTCGGTGAGGGAGGTGGGAGATGATCACCTACAGTGGTCATGGGCGTAGGGATGGAAACCCCGGGACTACATGGAGGTGAGGCACTGGCCATAGAGGCGCTGGCCATAGAAGACACAGGGAGCGAAGCCCATCATCTTTTGGAAGCGCTGCTTCATCCAGCTTCCCTCCTCGAAGACCACCTGGCGAAAGAGATCATTCTCCCCAAAGGAGAAGGAGGGGACAAGCTGGGACCCTGCAGTGCTTGGGGACCCTCTGAGGGACCGTGCAAGGGACCCTGCGTTGTGGAACCATGCAAGGGACAGAGCAAAAGCTCCCCTGCTGTGGTAGAGTTCCCAGAGTGGTGGGGTCCCCAGGAGCAGGTAGGGAGCAGGCAGAGCACAGAGGCCATCAGACCTGGGCTTCCACAGATGGGATTGGGGAACCCCCCAGAGCTCCCTGCCCATATCCTGGGTATCCCACTGTGAGGGCCAGGGTGCTGTGAGCAGGGTGCACAGGGTGGCCTGGGTGCTGGCACAGTTCCCTGTGCTGAGGGACACTGCACCCATCCCAGAGCAGCACAGGCTGGACCAAAGCTGCTCCACTGGGCTGGCAGGGGGTGAATCCAGGGGTACATGTGGCTGCTGGGGTTTTGGGGTGCAGTGGTGAGGTGGGAGGTAGGATGGAAAGGATGAAGCAGTGTTGTGGTTTAAGCCCAGGCTGTAAGTCAGCCACGCAGCCCTCTTGCTCACTCCCCCGCTTTCTTCCACCTGGAGGAACGGGGAGGAGAATCGAAAGAATGTAATTTGGACAGGCTGAGATAAGAACAGCCTAGTAACTAAGGTATAACATAAACCACTGCTGCTACCACCAATGATAATAATGATAAGGGAAATAACAAGGGAAGAGAATACAATACCACCTGTCGAAAACCAGCCCAACCGAGCAGTGCCCTAGCCCTTCTGGGTAACTCCCAGTTTACATCCTGGGCATGACGTGCTGTGGTATGGAATACCTCTTTGGCTAGTTTGGGTCAGGTGTCCTGTGTCTGCTTCATCCCGGCTTTCCCCTCCTCCCTGGCAGAGCATGAGACTCACAAAGTCCTTGGTCAGAGTAAACATTACTGAGCAGTAACTAAAAACATCATTGTTATCAGCACTGTTCCCAGGCCGAAAGTCAAAAACACAGAGCTGCACCAGCTACTAAGAAGGAGAAAAAATGACTGCTACTGCTGAACCCAGGACAAGCAGTTGGGTGAGGAGGGATGGGATGGAGGATGCTCATCCTGAGAACTCTGGACCATGCTGGCTGCTCTTGGAACAGCCTTGAGCCGAGCAGGGGGCAGGCTGGGCACCCCTGGGCCCAGACATGTCCATGAGCTTGGGTGCAGCACTGGAGCAGAGTGCAGTGGCACATCCCACACCGTGCCCAGCTCCCCAAAGGCCAGGACCTTGCCCGTGTTCAGGCTCCCAGATGATTCGTGTCTTTCCCAGCTGGTGCAGCTGGGAGGCACAGGGCAGTGTCCAACCCCAGCAAGTGCCAAGGACTGCGGCCGGGCACCGAGCAGGGTGGCCGAGGCTGGCTGGCCCCAAGCCGTCCCCATGGAGCCCTGCCTGCAGCAAGGGACAGTCCGGCAGCCGCAGCAGCTCCACTCCCCCCACCGCCCCCTTCCCTCCAACCGACCTTGGTGAACCATTAACTGCCCCAGGCCAGGAGCCAGGATCCAAACTCCATGCACGGCCCCATCCCTCCTCCCCAAAACCTGCCCGAGGCGCCTGTTCTGCCCACACACTGCTCCTGGCCAAAGGTCCACTGTGCCTGAGACCACCCGGCACAGCCGCTGCTGCGAGTGCAAGCGAGCTACCTCTTGTGCCACAAGAGCCTTGTTTTCTTGGGAAAACAACTCAAAACCAGCATGCTGGCTGAGACAGGAGCAGACCCGTTCTCCAGTTCCTTCTTCTGCTTTTATCTGTCTCAAAGAGAATTGATCAATTCAAAAGCCAGACACTGCCCATTCAGAGTGAAACCAAATCCCTTCTGCTTGTGCTGTGAATGACCTGCAGCTCAAGAGGGATCTCATACCTGTTTCACTGTACCTCTGCTCCTCAATATGACTATTTCTTGGTCAACACTTTCAATTTCCTCCAGGCTGGTGTTGATCCACTTCTGGGTTTGTAGGATATAAAACGCCCGTATCTGCTCCTCATCTGCTTGCCCACTGTCCACAGAACTTTTCATAGAGGCCAACCTGTTCTCCAGGTCCTTCTTCTGCTTATATCTGTCTCAAAGAGAAGAGAACTAAATCATTAAATTACCTTTCTATAACCCAGCCCAGATACTGTGATTTCTAAAAGAAACAATTTCCTATTTCTTGAAATTCAGTCAAATGTAGGCAGAGAACCAACTCCTGCCTCAATTCAACTCAAACTTGCCTACCCTGTTTAAATGCTCTTCACAGAAGTGCCAGCTGCTGCTCAGCTCTCCTCAGGGTATGCAAGTCCCAGACATTCATAAATCTCCTCATGTCTTTGACTAATTTCTTGGTGTAAGGAGAACTCATTTAACAACTGAGTAAGACTCCTGTAGAAATACAGCAGACTTACATGAATGTACCCATTAAGAGGAAGAGGAGCACTGGCAGCACCAGATGATGCCAGCTGTCATTTACTGATGACCTCTAATGATGCATAAGCAGGAGGCACTGTGGGGATCCATCTCCCCACCTCATCTGATTGACAACAGAAGGGTTTTGACAAATGAAATCTACAGGAATCAGAAGAGTTTCAATCTGCTTAAGAAAGGCTTTGAAAACGCACAGTTATATATCTACATGCATCACCAAAATATTTTGTTCCCATCTATGCCATCACTTCCATTTGTCAACTCATATTCAGACATTACATAGGATCTTTACTACTCTGTGTAAGTATCCGCATTTCAAGACATTGCCCTTAAATACCTGATCTACTTCACATAAAAATATCCCCAACACTTCAGTCTGCGGGCTCAGGAACAGTGGGATGTGCCTATGGAAAGCTCATGGAGCACCCAGCTGTGCAGTCTTCCCTGCCGAGGTGATCGCATCTGACATTGCCCATCTTGGATCCCTGACACTCCTGGTTGCTAGAAACCAGCTTTACAGATTTGCTTTGGAAGAGCCTGGGATGAAGAGCGAGGGATTTTCACAGCAGGAAATAGGCAGCACAAGAGATTTTATTTTGCTTAAGATATTTTTATTTTATATATTAATATATCGATTATTGATTTCGCCGAGGTGAGCAGCTCCAGAGAGGACCCTTCGACACCAGAGCGAGGGAGACCCGCGTGCAGGAGCCTCAGCTCTGAGCAGCGAGAGCCTCCTAGGGCGCCTCAAGCCCTTGCCTGGCCTTGTCCGGCAGCCGGGAGCTCCCCCGAGGCGAGCAGCCTGAGCGGGTGAAACCCAGGCCAGGAGTGCGGCCAGCAGGGAGGGCAAACAGGGCGCGGCACTCGGGGCGGCCCTGGGCTCCGGCAGGCAGGGGATGGTGAGCACCCGACCCAGGGACAGGACCCGGGCTGGGAGCTCTGCTCTGGCTGCCCCGCGGGGGCAACGTCGGCAGCAGACAGAGCCAATGAGAGGGGAGGCTGCAGCACAGAGCTCGGGGTGTAGGGAGTGCCTGCACTGGTCTGGTGAGGGGAGGGTGCACAATGGGCAGGGCTGCGCTCGGGGCTCCCTGGTGGAGGTCTGTCAAACATCTGTGGGATGCTGTCAATAGGCTGAAAGATGTCAGGGAAGCCGAGAGGAAGCAGGACTGCTTGCTCCAGGCCCAAACTGTGCAGGGGCCACAAGCATCCATCCTAGTGCATGCAGAGAAGGAGGGCATTAACCCAGGAAGCTAGGAGCTAATAACAAACAAACAAACAAAAACAACAAAAAAGGAGGAAGAGGAAAATTAAAAGCAAGGGGCTTCCTCTAAAATCTGATATCCCCACCCAGAACAGCTTCCCAGCTCTGCAGAGGGCTAACGAGGAAACACACACCGCACCAAATGAACAACCTGCTGATGCACTGGTAAAGAAGATCACTATTGGTGCCTCCAGGAGAAAGCAGAGGGTCACAGCAGTAGGTGACTCTCAAAGGCACAGAGGCACCCATCTGTTGGCCTGACCCAGTCTTGAAGGAGGTGTGTTGCCTGTCAGGGGCTTGGATCAGGGATGCTGCTGAGAGGCTGCCTGGTCTAGTAAGTCCTGCTGACACCCGCTTCTCGGGGTTCATGTGGGTGCCAGTGATATTGACAGCAGTAGCCTGGGAATCATTAAGAAGGACTACAGAGCCCTGGGAGAGGTGGTTAGGGGCTCTGGAGCTCAGACAGTTTTTCCATCGAGCCTCCAGGTGAAAGGGGAGGACCTTGAAAAGGCCAGGCAGATTTGGCGGTTAATAAATGGTTAGAAGAGTGGTACCATAATCAGGGGTTTGGTTGCTTAGAACATGGGACTTGAGTTGGGAGGCCAGGTCTACTGAAGGCTGGTGGCGGGAAAAACTGCTTTGGTAATAGAGACTTGCCAGGCTGGTCAAGGCAGCTTTAAACTAGATGTGTTGGTCAGGGGGGCATCATTCCATCCCAACACTCCCAAGTCAATTGCCAGCACCTTTAATAAATGCTTGAATCGATGCAGAGCTATTTCAGCCACTCTAGCCAATGAGCTGGCTTAATTTGAAGCTCAGCTCAGATGATTCTATACAAACCCCCGTAGTATGGGGAATAACCAAGAGGAATAAGAGATGTATACACAGCTACAGGGATATGATATCATTGGCATCACAGAAACTGCCTCTAAATAATCAGAATCCAACATACTCATTCTGGAAAGCATCCCGGGTGAGAATGAAAGGTTTCAGTGGAAGCCTGACTTGCCGAGAAGTACCGTGTGGTGGTGAAAGCATAAGGCAGGTCTGGAGCCAAAGTGATGATACAGGCCCACTCGGGAAAATGTTTTTCATGCAGGCCATGTGTTTTACTGGAAACAAATAGAGCTGCAAGGTGTCTCACCCTGATCAAGTACCAACCTGCTTGTGACAGAACTCACAACGCAGGCACCTCCCATTTGCCTTCCAGTGGACAGAGTCACGGTACAGGCCACGGTACATGCAACCACCAGCCCACAGCAAGAGGGGACTTCACAGGTAACCAAAGCCCAACCTGCAGCACTAACAAAGCTTGCCTGGAAGGAGATATTCAGCTCTGAAAAGGCTTTGCTGCGCTGATCCCAAAGGTCCTGACATGGTCTAGTACCCCAGACCTACCTCAGTTAGGTTAATATCTAGAATATAAATCATATCTTTGTATCCATGCAATTCAAACAGCTCTCCAGCCCAGCCTGGGCCTTTCAGTGCTACCACAATAAGCAACAACTTGTCAAAATCCCCAGCTAAAGCATAACAAAGAGACATCAACCACCTCTTTTTTAAGGACATAATAAGCCCTTTGGTAGGTAACTTCCAGCATGGGTGGCGTTATGCTCTTAGCAGCAATTAAAGCACCAGCCAGAAGAGCTTTCATGCAGTTCTTCAAAGACCAAAACCAAAGGTAGAAATGCACCTCCGCAGTCACTAAATAATATGTGGTGCATATCTTAAAACGAGTGCTTCGCAATCAAGTGTATTCCGGTATCAAGGAAGGCCCTTCTTTCCCGGCAGTCCTTGTCTGTACAACCACGCACTGCCCCAGGCTCTCCCCTTCTCTGAAACCGATTCCCAGAAGCCTTTAAAGGCCACAAACCAAGAACCTACCTTTCAATTTTGGCTTGCCTGCTCGACGCCATGGCCACCAGCTTGTCCTGGACGGCAGCAGGGCTCCTGCGGGGCGGGCTCCTGTCAGCCTCCTCTGCCGGGGGGCTGGTGGCGGGGGGCAGGTGGAAGCTGCCCAGCCCGTAGCTCTTGCAGAGCTTGAGGAAGCTCCAGAAGTGGGCCCGGGCGCTCTCCAGGTGCTCCAGCTTCTTGCTCAGGTCCACCTGCTTCAGCGTCATGGCCCCCAGCAAGGCGGGCAGCAGCAGGTACTTCAGGTCGGCCGAGGCGATCTCCTCCAGATCCTCGTTCTCACTGCAAGGGCAGAGACCAACCTCATGATAACAGCTCCTTGCTAGGAGCTAATCAGCCCCTTTTTTGTCTGCTGTCCCAACTGTTCAAGAATAGGTTTCATTTATACCTTGGGAGCATGAAATGAGTAAGGGTAAGGGACCAGATTTCCTTGCAGCCTGCTCTCTGCACATATCCACATGTGTTGTTCTCTTCCTGCTTGAGGTCCACCTGGCAGAACATGGGTTTTTGAGCTGCCCTTTCTAATTACAGAGTTAATGTTCTCAACAGGAGGGAAAAATAAATGCTTCTTTGGAAGGCATAATTACCCAGCAAGTCCCTAGTGACACCACAGTGGGCCTCAAGCTGGATACTACAGGAATAGTGGCTGTGATTAGTCCCACTGCATGTGAAAAGGGGGAGTTCCCAAAGCACTGGCAAGCTGGGACCAGTCTCTCCCATTCCCAGGTCTGCCAGATATCTTGGTGAGGGAGGTTTTGGGCATGAAGTCAATGTCTAGGGATCAGCCTCAGGTTCTGGACAGTTCTTACATTTCCATCTCCAGACATGAAACGTGCCTATGTGCTTTTCATTATCTAGATAGTGAAACCTACCACCACAGTATATTGCATTTGATGCACATGTGTAGAACATCTGGCTGTGTACATCCAGAAGGCCTGCCTGGTGCTTAGCAAGAGCTCCAGCATGATGGATGTACATCAGTCTTCCTGAAGGTGTTAGAGCTTCTGCATGTTGTCCTACAGCACACAAGTGCAACTCCAGCGCTACTCCAGCCAGACTGAAGGATGCCTGGAAATTCCTTATTCCACCACACAGCATATGGATAGTGGTCACAGCCGGCATATATGCAAGATGAGAAAGTCCTTAAAATCTGTAGGGCCCCAGTTCCAGGCTAGTGGGAGGATGCTTCTGTGAAAGCCCACTTGGATGGCAAACCCAGGGTGCCTCATGGTCCCATGTCAGCTTCTGCTCTGGGGAGGAGACTGTTCTGCAGCTCCTTCCGTGCCTTAACTCACCTTCTGATGGACCTCGCAGCCAGCATCTCCAGGAATGCACAAAGGGAAGATGCTACTATTGAGTGATTCAACAAGGTGTCCAGGGCACCTTGGTGTCATGGGATCCCTCCACTCTGATTGGGCAACTTGCTGAAATACAGGGTTCAGAGACAGAAGGTATGCCAGCCTGGCCAGCCTAGGGGAAGGGATGTAGATCTGCTTCCCTTCTGAGCCTCACTCAGCCGTTGCTGCAACTCTCCTTCAAGCTATGCCCAAAGGCCCTCAGTCAGCAGCGTATTTCCTCCTCTGGTCTTATGACCCTTACTCACCTATGCTGATTTGTCCCTGTCCCTCAGCTGAAGATCCCTATAAGGACAATCCCTAGTATTAGCTGTCATCCTTGGGGCATCATGATGTAGCTGAACACCCCAGAAATAAAGGAGAACAGAGATGCAAGGGGTTTTCCTTATATATAAGCTGTTCTCATGTTTGTGTGTTGTGTAAGTGTAGGCACCAAGCACATCAAAGATCAAAGCAACATCCCCCATATATTTACAGTAGTACAGATGTTGATCAAGAGCTGAGCCCTCAGGCTATGGCCCCATCTCACACCTCCTCATTCTGGCTCAGCTTCCTTTGTGAAGAGCACAGGCAAAAAGCAGGTGGAGGTCCTGACCCATGGTCTGGTTCCAGCTGCAATCCGAGGCTGTGGGGAAGAAATGTCACACAGAACAGTCCTTGAACACAGAGTCATTCCTCCTCCAAAATGCTTACTTGATTACCAGTAGTTTGCTGCCCTTGCTCAGATTATCCTCCTGGAATAAGTTAAGCAGCATCCCTTGAGGATTAAAGAAATAAAAGGGAAAAAAACCCAAACAAACCAGCAGCAAACTCTGCTCTTTAGCAGCAGAGTCAAAAGAGTCCATGAAAATCACTCACCTTTCTCCAGACTTTATTGTCTGCACAAGTCTGCACAGCAGGGAATGATCACATTCATACCAGCATTACTCCTTTGAAACCCAAATTAAAATCAGTAGCAGAGAGTAGGCTTTTCAGAGCAAACCCATTGCCTGGTTCTCACCACATTTCATGTAGAGGGATGGTTTTCTTCTATGCACAAACCATTTCAGGCCATCTCTCCCATGTCAGCTCACAGAGCCAGAAAGTGAGAGACTTCTGCGATGGCCATGGAGACTCTGGGGAGTCTCATTTCCAGAGAGACAGGGAAACAAAAAGCCACGAGACATTGGGAAGAATGGCTAATGACAGGAAAGTCAAAGAGGTAGATCCATCACATTAGCAGCGGGGCCTGCGAGGGCTGATGAAGCAGGGGTAATGACAGCAGCCTTCCACAGCATAGAGAGGACTGATTGTGAAAGCAGGGCAAAAGCAGTGTGCGACAAAGTGTCTGAAGGGCTGCAAAGCCACAGCTGTTACAGAGATGTTCTGGGTTTCAGGGATATTGTACTGTCCTTGCCTAGGTGCTTCTGTGTCCTGAAGGGCTATCTGCCAGAACTGGAGATGTTTTGGGGTGAAAGCAAAGGTGCAGAAGGTTAGAGAAAAGCCTTCTTGCACCAGTTTCTCTGGCACAGTGTTGCACTGACTGGTGCTGGATTTGTGATAAAAGGGACCAGATTTTCCCATCTTTCTACCTCAGAGGGTGCCTGTGCTAGCCCAGGCTGAAGGAAGGACTCCGTGCTCCCCTGGCACATTCCTGCTGGCTTTTCTGTCCGGAGAGGGCTAGAGAGAGAAAATGCATCCAGTCAAATGGATCCCCTAAACTCCTGGGGCCAAACGTGGGGTTTCTTCCCTCTCGATGCATTGTGTAATGCCAACTCCTTGCCCTGCCTCTGGGTCCCTGGGAGGCTCTTCCAGCCCAGCATATCTCACAGTCCTGCTAAATCCAGGTGTGGGCCCAGATTACAACACCTCCCACTCAGAGCATTGTCACTTAACTGTCACCCCACCACCATCGTCCTTCCTGCCAGCCCGACCCTTTGCATCCTCCAACTAATCACAGTGCCTTCCGATTTCCAACAGGACACAAATAGAACCAAAGGTCCTTGCTGATGATTGACCTCTCCAGTCATTTCCCAGCTCTTCCCTGTTGGGCTTGCAGTGGAGATGCAAGAATCAAGAGGAGGAGAGGACTCTGCATATTCAGCACTTGACCCTGCTTTTTCCCAGGCAGAAACTCAAATGAGACCTCTCTAGGAGGGGATCATGACATCTCCCCAGGGCATTCCTAGCTATTGTGCCTCCTCTTCTCTACCCCAGGCTATGTGTGTTTGTAGTTACCAAATGCAAATCACATTTCCCACCCTCCTGGCTGAATCTCTCACTCCACAAGATCCTTCCCCTGTTTTTTTTCTCACCAGCTAGTTTTGCAATGCTCTGTGGAGTTCACAGCCCCTCCCGGTTTCACTTCCCTCTGATCTGGGATGCATAACGAGGTGGCTATAGGGAAGGTGTTTAAGCAATCCTCCTCGTTAAGTACCTGCACCACCTCTCCTGGACACAGGAACTGCAGCTATTTTGCAGCCTGGCCGCTGAAGACTCTTTTCCGAGGAATGCTGGTGACGAACCCCTAATTCCATTTTAAAAGAAAAAACTCAAGATAGCTTTTTGGCCTTGGGCAGCTGTGATGGAAGCCTTGCAGCTGTGGCTTTACTGTCACTTTGGAAAGGCTAGATGTCAGCAGCCAGCTCAAGTCAACGGCACATTAACAACTGATAATGATGGTTAACTCACTTGGTTCATAGGCTTCACCTCTGAGCATTTCAGCTTCCACCTCCCAGGCTTGTCTCAAGCCACCTTTGACTCTTGACTTTTATTCACTGTTAATCCAGAAACCTGGAGCACATTAAGTGGAGGGGACAATGAAATGGAGGTTTGCAATAAAAGCTCATGAATTGATTCCGTGACCCAGCAGAGGCTATTAAAAATGATTGAATGAATATGGAAATGAGTAATCCTACAGCTGGACTTGGGGCTGAATGTGGCCAACCCCATTCAGTGCAAACCACAAACAAGCCAAGGCACATGCAAGCAAACCAAAGCTGCCAGACTCTTAAGGTCATGGTGTGAGCTGCAGGAAGTTGCTCTTGGATTTCTGTTTCATTTACCTGTCCTTGTGCTGTGGGCTCTCCTCAGCGCCTGTGTGTTTAGACTCATCCTTTCTCTCCAAAGACTGCCTGAACAGGAATCTCTTATCCCATGCAAGTGCTTGGCCACATTCCACGCTAGGGGAAATGGGGGCTGTCAGAGCCGCCATCCCTGGTTCCCAAGTCCTTGCTGTTCCCACATGTATGCTTGGCTAGTCCGGCCCACATTCACAAGGACCTTAAAACAATCCTGGACTGCCTCAGTTTCCAGCCACCAGTTCTGAAACCCAAGAAGCTGTATTCCTTGCTGCCTAGTCAGAAACCTGAGGAAGTGGGAGACAACCTTCCAACAGGTTTTCCATATAGGTACAGTAGCTGAGGCTGAGGGATACCTGTAATTAAAGGAAAACCTGGGCCAAGGAGCAGCAGAAAGGGTTAAAACTGAATCGGTCCCCTGCTGCAATGTAAGGGCATGGACACAGGGCTTTATGCTCTCCTTACAGCCTTGCTTTCTCTGTGGTCAGCTGAGAAGGAGATGGAGAAAGGAGGTCATCCTAGGAGACATGCCATAGAGAAATAAGATATAATACATTTATTTATAAAACACACACCAGAATCCCACTTACATTAAGTATAGAGACTAAAGGTTCATTCTTATTTCACCAGCTGCATCCTCTCTCCAGGCCAGAGTGCCAGCATGCCTGGTATTAAGGGGGTGGAAGGAGTGGGCTGAAGACCTTAGTGGGCTAAAACAAAAGGGCAGGACAAACAAGCCGTGAGCATGCCATGCACTGAGTAGGCTTCCACCTCCAACAGAAGCTCAGAGGGCACAAGCCCTGTTACTACAAGGCTGCTGGGCACAGTTTTGCCATGCTGCCCTGCTTCAGCAGTCCCCAGGACCACTCCTGTCCCTAGATGTGTTTGCTATCTTCACTTAGCACTGAGAGCAGCAGTAATCTCAATGCAGGTCATGGGGAGGATCAGTGAGCTCTGTTTTCTGAAGCATTAACTGGTCCTGCATGTGTCAAGCCTGGTCTTCATTTCAGATGCTGCAAAGGGAACTGGACCAGTGTTTGCCCCTGAGGAGGAACAGTCAGTAGTATTGGGTGAGCCCACAGTGGAAACCTTCCCCCAGAAGAGTTGCCCATGACCCCCTCACCCAAAGCAGCTTTGTTCCCCTGCAGCCTTCTCCCAGTGGACAACTTGCTACCCCCTTTCCCATCCATCACTCCTGGCTTTCAGGCCACTGTCAGAAGCCTCCTGCAAAGAGACAATGGCAGCCCAGACTCCCCATTCACCCCTGGAGAAAAGGGCCTGTGCATGTGGAGTGATAAATGGTTTGTCCCCAGCTGGAGACGGAGGGTTGGACGCTCCTGATCAGCTGCAGGAGGGCAGCCCTTTGTCTTGCTCTGGAGAGGTGGAGCAGAGGTTGGCCTCCGGCCTTAGGCTTCCTGGCATCTCTCAGTCTGAGGTCTTCCATGGTAATGCTGCTGCACAGGCTTCCTGCATTCCCCCTTCTTGCCACAGCTCAGAGTATCCCTCGTGATTGGTGTTTGGTCTCCATCTGTATCATCTCCAGAGGATGCCAGGGCAAGAGTCCTACCTGCCACGACGCCTCTGGTGTTATTTACAGACGTATCTCTCCACCTTCCGCCGACACTTCTTGCACACCACGTAGCAGCACCAGTGATATTTACAGTGACATCTCTCCACCACCTCCTCCATGTAGGTGTTGTAGCCGCGGCCACAGCACATAAGGTTACAACTGTCGCTGCCCACGGAGGTCTTGTTGCATTGCCTGCCAAAGGAGGATGCACAGGTGGGAGCTGAGGGAGCATGCCCATGGAGGGTGCTGACCACAGCTATCCGCCCAGGCCTCCTCCCAGAGCTCACTTGCCCATACCAGGAGGCAGTGAGATGCACAGGTCTGCTTGCAAACTGGGGTTGATATCAGCTCGTGCTGCTGTGGCTGTGTTTGAGCAGCTGTGGCTGAGATTGGGCACACTTGTGTATCATGCTGGGGGCAGGAACTCCCCATGGAGAAGGAAGGGTGGATGGCCAGGACCAGGAACTGCTGTTACTGCTAAGCCTGACAGGATTGTAAGCCACAGGCCTGAGGCAGCCCTGGCTCAACCTCCAGGTTTCCTCATCCCTCTAAAAACTCCCTGCTGCCTGGCAGTCACTCCAGAAGGAAGACATTTGGGAAGCACCACAGACTCCAAGGGCTGCTGAACCGTTCTGGTTACTGGCAGACAGCACCCAAAGGTGCGCAGGGAGAGGAGACATTTCCCTTTCTGACCTCGCAGTGGATGTATCCTGTCCTGGAGAGTGGGCTGACAGCCTTGCAGTGAGGGCTCTCCCTTTGCCTTTACACCTGCGTAGCTCTGTAAGAATGACATCTGCCTTCCTACCCTCCCTGGGGCTTTGAGATGCAAAGCGTTCACAGCGGTCCCTGTGCCTTCCCCATCTAATAGGGGTCTGCCCATCCACACCAGCTTCCCAGAGCATGATGGTGGTACAGACAGTAATGAAATTAAAGGCTGAATTAGAGTATATTTGCAGCAGTTTCTTACCTATCCTGTGTCCCCAGAGACCCCAGGTGGAGATTCGGTGTGCAATAGTCAGGAGAGTTGATGAGATAAACCAGATTCGTCTCTTCCATTGGCCTGACCTCCATTTCCTTGGGTATCAGCTGCTTCCTGGGCCCTATGAGCCGATGGGTCACCTTGATGGCTGCCAGGTACTTGGACTTGAGGTCAGAGGCTATTTCATCCAGCTTTGCCAGTCCCTTCCAACAGGTCTTCACTGAGCAGGAGCCTGAAACACCATGGCATTTACACTTGGTATCCAGGGAGTCACTCAGCACCTGCAGAGGACAGGAAAACAGACTAATTTGTTTGTGCACCCTACAGATTGGCATGCACCCTACAGATTGATTTGCAAGAGCATCCATGGGAAGTTTCAAAAGCTCAGCTGCTTGCTGCCACCTTTAAATGAATATAATGGGGCAATCAAGGACTAAGCCCTGCTTCATTCCATGTATGATTAAAACCTAACCTTTGGGGAGCTCCCAGCTGGAGCTTGCAGAGGCAGTGGTGGCTGCCCTGGCCAACATGGGTGCAGGACAGCCATGGAACGGGCATGCATGAAAGTGCAACACCCTGCAGTTCCCTGTGGGGCTGGGGAGCCCAGCTGTAGTGGAGCAGGATGGGCCTCTGCTTCCCATGAGCAAATGGGCAAATATCTTGTGCTCGTTGTGGAGAGGGTGCAGGGATGTTTGGGGGGGTGGGTAGCAGTGGGGGGTGTCTCTGCAAACACACATAACTCTGTTTTAACCAGTTAGTTGCCTCCTGACTTTAAGGACAGCATCCCAACAGCCTGGCTGGAGTCTACTGCCTTACATTAGGCACCTCTGCCCCCAGGCTTTGTAGGGTGCCTGAGCTGCAGCAGTGGGGTGGACACGGTACCCACCTGCCGACCCACTGCACTGTTATGTAGATTCATGGCCTTGAGCGCTTGTGTCCCCAGCTTGCTGGATTTTAAGGGACTGTCAGCAAAAGCGGTGCCGAGCTGGAGGCCATAGCTCAGGTTGTCCCCACAGCCACCCCATCTGAAGTCTGGCCCAGGGACCTCTGAGGGGACGGAGCCACAGGAGCAGAGAGGGAGCTCTCCCGAGGCACAGGCTCGGGCGATGGAGTGTGTGATGGTGGCGGCGGCCAGCGCGTAGACAAAGGCAGATTCGCGGGTTCCTGGGAAGAAGAGGGGGAGATGTCCTTCCTCCCTGCCCAGCCAACACTCCTCGCAAGGCAAATGAGGCTGGGTTTTTTTTGCAACAGGATATACCCAAGTCCCAGTGTTTTTAATCTGTGATACCCATTATATTACATATTTTAGTGTATTATATCCCCTGCTCTTAGCCCCCCCCCCCTTTTTTTTTAAGCCTTCAGCCGCTTTTAGTTTGAAATGGAAGTTACTGCCTGTCAGATGGTTTAAGTTGCACAAGGTTAGCACCAGTGTATGGCAGTAAGTTTTCTGCAAAACATGTATCTAAGGCAAAACTGAACAGCAGTGCTGCCTGCCTGGACAGCTACATGGGGCAGAAATTGGAGTACCAACACAGCAGTTGAAGGGTCCTTTACCTCTCAGCAGGTCAGGCCCAAAGCTGGGTGCTTGCTGGATGGAGGAGCAGTTCCACCTCATGTCTGCAAAGGTCTTCTGGCAGCTGCTCTTGGTGTGGCGGGCGGCCTGGACGATGCTGGGCATGACCTCGAGGTTCCTGCGGCACATCTGGAGCTGGTCGGGCACCAGCCCGGCGAGCAGCCGGCAGTGGTGGCTTTCGTTCCAGGCCACCCCGCTGCCGCTCTCCATCAGCCCGCTGTGGGGAGAGGATGGGTGTCAGTGGGGGGGGGGGGACCACGGGGCACCCAGCCGGAAAGGAGAACCCCAAAGGGGAGGGTAAGGGGAGGGGGGGTATCCCCTTTGGGGCTACTACTCACAGCCACTGGATGGCCGCGGAGAGCCCCAGCTGGCAGAGCAGCGCGGCGGCGGCGGCGGCGGGGCGGCCCATAGCCGGGACCGGGGCTGGGGCTGGGGCTGGAGCCGCCGCCTCCTTTTATAGCCGCGGGCGGTGCGGTCCTGCCCCCCGGGGAGGGGAACAAAGGCGGTTTCGGTGCCATTCACAGCGGGCTGGGGCCGGGGAGTGGTGGTGGTGGGGTTCAGCTGTTACTAGCAGCGCCTGGGAAGTGATGCGGAGGTGATGGGGAGCTAGAGCCAAGCACTACCAAGTGCTCAGGTGCTGCGTACCTCTCCGTGCTCCCCCATCCCCGCCCCCGGCTGGAGATGCTGCACACAACAGGCCCCCATATTCTCACCTTTAGCATCTTCAGGAGAGCCACTGGGTCACAAAGCAAATACACGTGTCTGCTCAGCATGTAACAGCTCATCTATGTAGCAAACTGGCAGGAATCACAAAGGGAGCACATTAGTAAGGGACAGAAGGGATTGGTACAGGCTGATTGTAATTTCTGCTTATTTTCTCTGCAAGAAGCTTTAAAAAATACATTTTCTTGACCCAGAAAGAGTGAAAGTCTCAGCTGTCTGCCTCTGTCTCCAGAGCCCAAGGACAGCCAGGATTCTGCAATAACCAAAACTCCAGATGTACATATGTCAGTCAAGGGTGTGGACACTTCTCACCAGTCTGGAGCAGACCCAGCCAAAGGCTGTGCTGGGACTGAATGTGGGGAAATCCTGCCCCTAGACACCAACTTCACAGCTTCAGCCCCTTTTCTTGCACAAAAACCATCTTGCTGAGCCATGTGCAGTCAGGGCATCCACAGCTGCTGGGGTTTCATAACTGCAGAGAGAGAGGGTGAGCAGAAAGAGACATGTGGAAGGGCTCTCAGCACGCAGCACACAAGCACATTTCAGAGTAATTGTGTTAAAGTAACCTCTCCTGCTGCAGGAAGGTGCTGGGCTGCAGGGCCAGGGCTCCCTCCACCACAGTCCAGTCTACACCCCTGCCGCTCAAACTTGAGAAACAGCCCTAAACACAACACACCCATTAGAAAACATCTGGTATGAGCAGGATCTAACTCAGCATGGGGCTGTCTTTAGCTTGTCAGCACTTCCCACCCCTCTCTATAGTTGGCATTGGGCTTTCTGTAGCCTCCAGCACCCCAAAGTGCATGGGGGCAGGAGGGACAGCTAAAGAAAGGACTTGGCTTTGACTCTGTTACTGGGCTTTGCAGGTCAGGACTAAGTGCTGATGTTTACTGCTAATTCCAGGTTCCTGAAAACAGCATAACCAACTTCCACAGCAGTTTGCCTCTCCAGGCCAAGAAAATGAGTTAAAGTCCACTGGCTGTCTCACAGACAGCCCAAAAGGGGAGTTTGCCTGGTGCTGTGAGCAAACTGATGTGTGCACGTCCATAAGCCAGCACTGGGCATGGGCATCAGCTGCAGAAATGCCGTTTCATTGCAGGGACCATCTTACAGCTGGCAGAGGTGATGCAGCCAGGAAACTGGTGTCTGCTTGGACAGTAGCATTCCCATGGCTTGCACATGCTTGTCACGAGGTGTATTTTTCTGAAACTTTCCATTCCGTAAGAAGAAAACCAAAAGTACAACCTTGCTGCTGTGAAGCCCTTCAGGAACCAGGTAGGCTGATGCTCTCCCGCAGTGGAAGGTGACGTTTGAGACAAATCTAGCTGACGCTATCTTCTTTTGGAAGCAGTCATAGGTTGAAGACCTCTACTTAGGGCTTTCACTTTCTCCCTCACTGTGCGACTTCCCCTCTCACTAGAAGGTGCTTTCCCTTTACAGGACATAACTGGGTGGTTCATTAGCATCCCCTCATGACCTCCTTTTGACTCGCTATCATGTGCACTAAAAGTAGGACACGCAGTTTGAATTGTTGACCTTTCCGAACTACTCTCTTGGGATGAAAAGGCCAAGGTGCATTGTGCTGGAGCAATGGCCCATGAGGAAGGGTCCTGCTAGGAAAGCACTGAGGTCACTCCCAAATCCCAAGCAGAGTTACAAGGGGCTTAATTAAAGGACAGGGAGAAAAGAAAGAGATGTGTCCCTGGAATTGGCTGGCTCTGATCCCTTTAACCTCCCTCTCCCTACTGCCTGTGGACTGACACCAGTGGGTCTAAAGTTATGGCAAGCTGAGGAATGATTTTTCATCAAGAGTAAGAAAGACACAGGATAAAAGCAAATTTCCTGACCTGTGAGGATGAAGGCAAGGACCCAGAGGTAGAGTGCAAGCTGGATCTTGAGTTTCTTTGGAGGTTCTAGCAGGGGAGTGCAGCTACTGCATACCCGTGACTGATGAACGGTACCACCTGTTTCAGGGAAGGTCGTCCTCTTCGACCGAGCACACAGCTTCGGGAGGGCCGCACGTGGAGCAGTGAAGGAGGAAGGGGACACCCGCCTAGCCAGCCAGATCACCCGAATCAACCCTATCGATCAATGGGGTGACAGATGTCGCAGCCAGATTGCCCTCACATCCCCTTGACTACACATTCTTTATCTTAAGCATCCTCCTGTTTCCAAATGTACAGTCCTCAGAAATTATCCTGATGCTCTTTCTTTGGTTCCACCCAATGTTCTTTCTCCAGTTCTTCCCGATTCGTCCCATTCACTTCTTCCAAGGTTTGTGGCTGATGAGTCCCGATGTCCGGACTCTCATCCAGGTCTACTGGCGCAGCTTCTTGTGCAGCATTCCCCACACTGACCTGCTCATCAGGGCACACAGCTGGGATGTCTCTGCAGAGGGCATGTGGAGGCCAACCACCACCATCCATGGATGTCTGTTTCAGAGTGCTCTGAGCAGGAGCCTGCCTGGCTTTGGACACCTCACGGGCTGCATTGCCACCACTGGAATATCGGCACTGTTTGCTGGGACTCCATGGTTTAGGGCAAGAGGGGCCTTTTTTCACTGCAACCAGTACTTAGAAAATTATCTGTGAGTATTTCGGAGTGGGAGATGTTCTCCTTGCAGCAGAAAGCAGAGCCCCTGCTGGAGAGCTCAAGGGGTAATGCAAGTCTATATTCCCTGAACACCAAATCCTGTGTTTTGGTTTGTCTCCACAATGAGGACTAAACTGATTAAAATAACAACAGTCTGCCTGTTTTTAGGGGGCAAGGTAGCAATGAACATGCCCTATCCTGTAGCACATGCTGCTCCAAACCCCTGCAGACCAAGCATTGGGTACAGCAGTTCTCCAGCCCCTGTGGGACACCAGGGCAGGTCCTGCCCTACTCCTGCCTTCTCCAGACCCAATTATTGCCCTGTGGAGGAAGATGTAAGGGCAAGTCAGACACTAGCTAGTGCAGTTTGTGATCCCCAGCTGTGGGATGTGGAACTCACAGCCTGCAGGAGGTGGAGCACAGGCAGACTCCATCCACCCGTCCGTCCATCCATCCATCCATCCATCCATCCATCCATCCATCCATCCATCCATCCATCCACAGGGCATCCATCCTGGGAAGCCACTAGAGCATCTTTCACTCTCTAGACTTCCTTACAGTCCCAGACACAATTCAAGCACCCTGACTGTTTCCAGAATGCAGTTTCCTTTTCTTTTATGTCACCAATAGGTGATGCCCATGAAACAACTCTCAGAGAACTGCACTTGGCCTCAAAGTACCTGTGATAAAATCCACAAATCAGCCTGAGACACAAGTGTGTGCAAAGGGCTGGAGCTGCATCGTGCCATATGGAAAGAGCCAGGCAGAACTGACAGGGAAGGGTCTCACCACTTCCCAGCCCACATACCCCAAATGTTCTGCTGGAAAGACCCACTGCACATGCCAGTCCTGAGCTTTGAGACAGCCTCAGTGCATGCTCCAAGGGCCAGAACCAACCAGCACTGTAGAACAGGAGGCAATTTTCTCAGTTTTCTGAAAGCCCAACTCAGCTGCTCCCTCCTCAGCCCAAAGTCTCCTCCAACCATTCCTGCTGTTCAAGAAAGCTGATGTTTGTTTTGCTCCAGTGGTACCTGAGGCTTGGTACTGCTGTCCTATGTAAGATCAAACTCTCTCTGGCTCCAGTCCAAGGTGGCATGTGGCAAAGATGAACCTGATCTCTGAATCTGGTCTGCTTCTACCCAGGGCACTGCAACGAGAAAAAGTCCCTGTTAAGTCCCTATTTTGCTTATGCACATCACAGGACCCCAAAGATGGAGGTAGAAAAGCCTGATAAAGCAGCACCTGCTGCTGGGGCCTGATGTTGGTGCTGTGTGGGACAAGGTGACAGCACCCTGGGGCCCTGCTGTATGACTGATGGCTCACTGCTGCAAGACTCCACGGGTAAAACTGAGGTCCTTTGCCATGAGGTGAGAAACTGAAGTCCGACTGTTCTCACCACAGCGATACAGTACAGCTTTCACCTTTCTCGAGCCAGTTTGGCCCTGCGGGTACTCACTGTGTGCTAGAAGTCCCTGGTATTTGTTCGAAATCTCACCTTCCCAATCATGACTGTTACAGATCCTTCTCTTACCTTGACATGAAAACAGATACGGTGCCCATACTTCTCCTCTCACTAAGCCCAAGTGCTCCTTTCACTCTAACCCCAAGGACTTGGCTGTTATGAAATCATATTCTCTGTAAGTTCCTTTTTCACCCTTGGGGAATAGGGAAATGCTTCAGGCCCTGAGGGGGACATTGCGGGGAAATCTGAACAGCTTCTGGGGGATTAGGAATTTTCTGACCAGGAAAAACTGATTTTGTCAGTGTTGGGAGGTGCCTGGGTGCTTTCTTGGGCATCATGTGCTCAGCAGGCAGAAGGAGGGCAGCGGCTCACAAAGCAAAGGTAATCATGTGCTGGGCATGTCTAAATAGACATTCCTTCTTCAGACTCCAGCAGGAGGGACACAGGAACTCCCAGTCCCTCACAGGTAGTCATTTTGCCCTGGAATCCTCTGCAGCAGGTATCCTGCATCCACCCTGCTAGGAAGGGCTGCTTTGCTGGTTGTTGCTCCAGAGTGTCCCACTGCCGCATGTCTGCTGAGGGATGAGGAAGGCTCAGTGGGAATGCAGGAGATGCTAATCCTTCTGGGGGGATTTCTAACGTTATCTCAGCAGCTGCATGAAGCAACCCCACATGGCCCAAGAAGTGACCATCAGCACAACTAAACCATGCAACAGAGGATTTCAGACAAGAGGGTCAGCGGGCCCCTAATCTCTCCTGAGAGATGCTAAAAGGTGGGCAAAGTGCAAACCCACCCATGTGCAGGCTGAGGGGAGGAAGCTCTAAGGTTGCTGTATAGGCAAAGATGCTTTCCAGCGGGGTGGCCCCAGCAGATACTGGTTCCTGGGGCTGTTCGTGCCCAGGACAGGACTTTGCATCCCGATGTGGAACACCCTCCCTCCCTGCTGGCTGTATGTGCTGTGGCATTCACAGCATCAGCACCTGCTCTGGTTGGTGCTGCCTAAGCATCGGGAGATGGACATCAGGGGTGTTTGACAGCTAGAGAGGACATGGAGCATTGTCCTGCCATTGCCCAAGCTATTCAAAAGCGGGTCTGAGTAGGCTTAAAGCTTCCAAACCAAAACGGACCTGTCCCCTGCACAAGGGGCTGACCCCTTCTCTGGTCTGCGGTGTCAGGGCTAGAAAGGAGAGGGGATATTGCCACCTTCTGGCCAGTGGTTTTGCTGTTAAGGGCCACCATCTTCCATCCTGGTCCCTGAAGAACCTGATTTCACCATGCTCCTGCTGGTGTTGATGCTGGCAAGTCTTACATTGCAGCAAGGCACTTTTTTTTTCGCCTATTAAGCATTCCTCCAGGTGTGGATGGCATCTTACTCTGGGACCTGGAGGATATCAAATGGGTTGCCATAGCCAATACATAGTGGGGTTGGAAGGCAGCTAGAAATGCAAGAGCATCTGGATTCCGAGGGGGTTTGGGAGAAGGTGTGAGTAACAGGAAAAGCTGCTGGAGAGCAGGAATGTGGAGACAAGGCACACAAGGACAGTCTGGAGGCATTTCATAGCTTTACAGGTGCTGGAGCCATGATCAGCGCTGGGGAAAAGGGGCTCAGGACCATCCCCTTCCTTTGGAATGTGAGGTCATTGTGGGAGTTGGGCAAGGGCACAAGAAGCCAGTGCCAGCATAGGGAACAGTGTCCAGTGACTTCTGACATCCTCAAGCTGCCTCCTATGAAAGGTGATTTTTACCAATCCTCCTTCACAGAAAAGTTTTGCAATGACTGAATAGTAGGAAAAAAAAAAAAGGGCTTCCTTTTAAAGCAAAAGTAATGCTTCATTTGATGTCAGTTCCTCTTCTTAGCTCAATCCTTGAAACAACTGTAGGGTAAGTGCTAAAAATACCCCTTCCCCTTCCCTCTCTTGGGGAAGGAGGAGGGCAGGAGGGGGTTCCCAGCCTAGGTAAAGGCTTCCCTTCCCCAGCTTGCCCAAGCCACCATGGGGAGAAAGTGCAGCCGTGGTGGTGGAGCTTCATCTGCAGGTGCTGAGCA